TATATAGTATTTTGAGGTCTAGGCTGGCCTCAAACCCTTGCTCCTTTTGCTGAAACCACCCTGTGCTGAGATTATAGGCATGTGCCACTGTGTCTGGCTAACTGAATGACTTTTAAATACTTCTGAATTTCAGGCCCACTTTAAAGTCTATTCAACCAGAATTTGGGAGCAAAGGGTCAATACAAAGGGTCAATATAATCTGTATTACTGTATGGTCCAAGGAAATGCAGAAAGAAGACCCCAGACTCAAATAGTATGTAAGAGCAAAGAGGGTTTATTAATATTCCAGCATGCATGAGGGGTCTTTCATCTGTACAAAATGGTGACGACCCTGAGAGGAATGTGCAGGCTCTTTTTAAGCACAGCTAAGGGGAGTTTTAGGGACAGTGAGGTCATCTCATGCATAATTGGTTAGGCAAGCAGCAGTTACACTAGTATACTTTTAATTGGCTGAGGGTTAGTCTTATCATTTTTGGACATACTTGTACAAACTTGGGCAAGTCTGGACGTGACTCAGAAGGGGGCTGATGGATTTGTCCCTGAGACATTGTGAGGCTGCCTTAGGCCCTGTGCTGTTCTCTCCCTTGTTCCCGACTGTAAGGAGATTGTGGATAAATAGCCCTTTGTTAGATGAGACACCTGTTTTGCCCTTCTCAAAAAACTGAAAGAAAGTTGTAAGAGTGGGAGAGTTTAACTCCTTCATTGCAAATAATCTCATGGTTTTAGACACTGATATAGTTAGAGGAGATATGGGAAACATGCCAGAATATCCTCTTAAAATTTCTATTTTTGTTACCTCATTTCATATTCATTTTTATTAGCAGCTAAAAAGCAACCACACAAATTTGTGGATCTCACGTGAGACCTCAGTGATGTATAGATTGTCACAGTATCCTCAAAAGGATCATGGAAGGCAGGTCTCTCTAGTGTTGGTTTTGTATAAGTCACTTAATTTTGTTTCCTTGACCATAATTCATATAACTTATTATTTGTTCTTTCTGCATGGGCCAACTCACAAGGCCATATGTGAATCTTCCTAGCAAGTGTTCAGGCAGAAACTTAGTTCAGAAGAGTGGCTTGTGGGTGCTCCTCCTATCCTGTTCTCTCATTTCCCCAACCGTTCCCACCCCTCTAGCCCTTCCCCTGTGGAAGCCCCAAAATGTGAGCCTATTTCCACCTTGTCTGAAGGTCAGAGAGTTTTAGCTTGTCCAAAGATGCTGACAACTAGTGTGGCTACCCACCCTAACCTAGGGTGTGGTTACTTGGTCTTTTTGACATTAAGATGGCCCGTACAGATAGATCCTGATCAATAATATTTAAGCATACTTCTCCTTCTTTTTGAGATAGGGGATTTGACCTTGGGAGTGACTGCCTTCATGATATTTGGTCTAGGGTAGGTTCACTGCTTAAACAACAGAATGCTTTTCTCATGGATTAATGGCTCGATGGCTCAAAGTATTGCAAGTAACTGTTCTAGTTGTCTTTATATCATGTTAGAGCAGTCTTTTGTCTTCTTCCCCCTGTTGTATTGGGGTATGGGAAATTAAGCGCAGGCAAATTTCAGTATTCACTGGAACTCCCTCCCAGCACGATCATATGTTTTCTGTCGCATCTTCATTCTCTTTACTTGTTTTTCTAATCCCTGTGCCCCTACCCCAATGAGTGGGACTTTTGTCGAAGTTGGTCTCTGACACTCCCCACCCTTCTCTCTCTTCTCTGTCTTGCTCTTATTTCCCCTTTCTCCCCTAATCTTCGTCCGGCAATTTTTAAATCTGTGTTTTGTTCTATCAGAGATTTTATACATTTAACTAAACTCTGGAATAGAGCGTGGCATAAGTCAACAGTTACTGCCCAAATATTTGTGTGTGCCATGATGATAGTCTTTGCACTGAGTTTGTATTTCTGTTTATTATTTTCACAATAGTGTTTGGTGGGAAGCATCACCCCAGACCCTGGCATCCATGGATCCAGTAGTCTGGAAGGTTTGGGTGGAAAGTTCCATTCCAAGCCCCTCCCCTAGGCGTTTCCTCAGTCCAGACTCCACCTCCAAGAAAACCCTCCAAACAGTGACCCCTCCTCAGAGATACTCAAGACCATTCCCACTGGGTATTTAAACAGCAACCCAGAGATCAAACACGTGGTTTCCCGGTCTTCCTTCCCCATCTTCTCTCTGAGGTCCTGGAAGGCCACTCAAGAGCGCTGGCATCCATTATACCCGGGCTTTTTCTCATTCGGTTTGATTTGGTCTGATTTGGATTATTGTGTTGGTGTAGAGGTTTATTGGGGTGCAAAAACTTTTCAAGTAGTACTAAAGTTCATCAAAACAGAACAAAATGGTAGTCAGTAGGGGATGAGGGGTGAGTAAAATGGGAGATTGCTCTTCATTGAGTATAAAATTTTAATTTCCAGGATCAATAAATCCTGAAGATCTGTTGTATCTGAGTATCTATAGTTGTTAATACTGTATTGTATAATTAAACATTCTTTTTAAAAAGCATTTAACACATTAAAAACACATTAAAATTTTTATGATAATTAAAAACACCCAAATAGCATGGGATAATTTGGCAGAAATCCCGACACAAGCGTAACTGGAGGAGGTACCACTATTGCGTTCTGTAGATGCTCTTTGAGGAGTGTGGATGGAAGCAGGATGGATATTATTTGATATTCACAAAGACAAAGGCAGACTTTCCATTTTATTTAGAATGAAACCAGCGTGGTGGAAATCAATCACTGACACACATGAAAAAGAGCGTGGTTCCTTAACAAAATGAGTTTGTTGGTTTTGTTTTTAATTTTCTCTCAAATTCAGGCATTTATTTATTTACTGCTGCCTAGACAGCAGTAAACAAAACGAGTCCTTAGGACACAGAAATATGCCCCAGCTGTAGCACAGGCTTCCTGCAGTCAGCTGCATCTGCAGATGAAATTGATCTGCGAGCTCATTTCACAACAAGAAGCAGGTGACTGGCAGATCTAAAAAACCCTTTACCATCTCAGTTCGCACTGGATGGGGCAAGCTGGCTTTTGATCCAACTCTGGTATTTCTTAGTCAATAGGGTGTAGATTCCAGGTTTGTTGGCAACGCCACATTTATAGCCCCCAGAGACGATGGCATGGAAGACACCTTTGCAGACCAAGGGGCCACCTGAATCTCCCTGGAAAAGGAAAATTGGCAGATATTTAGTGAGAAGCTGGTGAGGTTTCCTAAAGTCACTGTTTTCTTTAGTGTTATTAACTTTGGTTTCTCTATGACTCAGAGCCCCCAACACAGCCTCTTATTCAGAATAGGTTTTCTGTGTCTGTTTGTCTGTCTATCCCTGCTTCTCCCTGTGTTTGCATCTCTGTCTATAACCATGAATTGGTCTCTCTGCCCATTTTATGTCTCTGTTCTCTCTGCCCTACGTCTATGCACACAGCTCCCTTTGGTAATCAGTGGCTTCTGGACTTTGCTAGTTAAAGAGCAGAGAGTTTGAAATTTCCCACTGAAATAAAATAAAGCTCAAAATTGTGACTGTCAGTTTGACACCAGAGGGCTTAGAACCAAATTGTTGTTGAGACCAGGAGGAAAGAGAAACCGAGCACTGTAAATAACGCGATGGAAGGAACTGTGTTGGGCTTCCCTTATCTTTTCCTAGTTTTTGTTTTGTTTTTAATTTGTCACTTGCACACATTTGAAGATGGCTCTGTGTATGTAACTACCCGCCAACTGGGGGGATTTCAGAGGATCCACCCTAACAGAGTACACAACTGAATTCTGTCATAAGAGAAGCTGTTATTGAGGAGGTAGGATGGCCTTCTGGTCAAAGAGTTGGCCTTCAAATATGAGGACCAGTGTCTGCTGCTGGTCTCATGGCAAAGTGCAGGGCATTGTCAGGGCTAGTTAGAGTTGCTGTCCTGGTTAGGGGGGGTGGTGGTCTCAGGGAGTCTTCAAGCCAACCCAGCAAGGCTTACTCTAGTAGGATGCAAGTATTAAGCTCTTATTTTTAAAAACGAGTAATCTGGGACCAGCGAGATATAGCTCAGTTATAGCTTGCTTGTCACCAAGTCTGATGGCCTGAGTTGCGCCCCAGGACCCACATGGTGGAAGGAGGAACTTCCCACAAATTGTCCTCTGGCCTCCACATGTATGGTATGGACTGCATTTATGAGCCCACACATATAATATGTGAATAAATAAATACAACATAAGAATGGCTTTAAATTAGTAAGCCATCTACACTGCTTATTACTCCTCTAAAATGTGTACCCAGTGTTTTCTCACCATCTCTGTGCACAAAAATTCTGAAAGAGAATAACAGTTGCTTTTCGTTAACCAGTTTGAGGTCTGAGGACTTGTGTCCCCTCAATCATGGGAGCAATCCAGTCTCCCAAGGGTTAGCAGCCGAGGTAGGGATTTGCAAGATCATGCAGCAGGATTTCTCCCGAATGGGGTTAGAGCACTGATCAAAATCCCAGACTCCCTACCTCAGCCAGGTTAGGATGAAAACAGACAATCTACGAAGCAGAATGTTTTCCTCATGAGACCCCAGATCCACTACTGTCTTGCTCTGAACCTTCCAACTCCCAGAACAGTGAAAAACACATTTCTGTGGGCATTTTATCTTAGAAGTCCACGTTATTTAAGAAACGCAAACTGTATTTATGAGCTTCCAGCATATGCATCTTTTCAGTCTTCTCTGAGGATCACTTTAAAAAATGGTCCTTTGGTTGGGGGAGTTATTTTCTAATTATGTCCTCAGGGTTAGCAGACTTTCTAAGGATGGTAACGTCCTTCAGTGGACACCTGTAAAAATACAACCAGGTGTCTGACGGGACGAGCAAGTATTTAATGAGAGCAGCTTAATTGCTGGAGGAGTTCACACTGGTAGGTATGTAAGAGTAGGGGTACAGTAAAAGTACAAGAGTGGACAGTAAATTTTCAGAACTGTGGATCCTGTTCTCCACGCCTTCCCTCAGAGTCAGAAAATGCAAAAGTGACTGCGGTTCACTGGTCTCCACTTCCAATGAGGATGCTTAAAGTTGGTTGTTTTTAAATCTTTACTCTTTGAGGACCTCGCCACCCAGCTCCCAAATAAGCACACACCGAATCTTATTCTTACTTATGAATGTCCTGCCTTAGCTGGGCTGTTTCTAGCTAGCTTTTCTTAAATTATTCCATCTACCTTTTGCTTCTGGGCTTTTATCTTTCTCTATTTATGTATACCTTTTTTTCACTTCTTTCTCCGTGGTTTGCAGTGTAGCTTGGGTGGCTGTCTCCTGGAGTCCTCCTCTCCCTCTTTTTCTCCTTTCCCAACCCCTCTTCCCAGATTTCTCCTCCTATTTATTCTCTCTGTCTACCAGCCCCGTCTATCCGTTCTCCTGCCTCACTACTGGCTGTTCAGCTCCTTATTAGACCAATCAGGTGTTTTAGACAGGCCCAGTAACACAGCTTCACAGAGTTAAACAAATGCAACATAAAAGAATGCAGCAAATGTTCCACAGCATAAACAAACATAACATACCTTAGAATAACATTCCACAACACATGCTTACCTGGCAGGAATCCTTTTGGCCTTTGGCATTTCCTGCACATATCATGTCCCTGGTTATAACAGGTTTGCGGTTGTAATAGCTTTGGCTGTTGCAGCGTTTTCTGCTTATAATGGTAACAGTGACTTCTTGCAGGGTATCAGAGTTTTTTAACAGATCTGGGTTGGTGGCTCCCCAGCCAGTAACCTGGCATTTGGTTCCATCTCTAATATAGTTTTTGGATCTCAGTTGAAGCAGTTGGACATGCTTGTTGAGTTCTGCAGCAGTGTGAAGCTGAAAGATAGAAAACTAGGTAAATTATTCTTCCCCAGGGGTTTCTGCAGCTAGATCCCATTTGACCGTGCATTGGGTGTGTGGTCCCTCTGCCTCAGGAAGGCATCTCTTCCCCTCGAATCTCCTTTGGTGATGATCTGCAGCTGCATTTTTGGCTGTTGTTTTTCTCTGAATGTGATTTCCATTCTCCATGGAGCTCACTGATGTTTGGGGATGGAAGCATATACAGAGTAGGAGTTCCACCCAGTCTTGAGCAAACTGGCCTTTGCCCTGCCTTGGAGGGTTTTCTGTGGAATGGCATGTATAGGTCATGACTTTGTGGGCTGGGCTGCTTCCTGCTGGATAGGGCCCCTGAGTATGGTCTAGACCACATTTGGGCTGGACAAAGTATGGTCTAGACTAAGTTTTAACTCATTTCTGATTCCCTGAAGTCCCTTAATTGGCTCTGTTACATAAACAACTCTTGTAGTTTTCAGTCGCTAGTGTGAAAAGCATTTGGGGAAAAGCATTTCCTGGGGATCCTTGGAGCTGCTGACATGTTGCTCTTCTGCATGGGGAGCAGTACCATTGGTTTCCCTGGCATAAACATGTCTCTAATGCATTTGTGGTTTTTGTTTTCTTTTCACGGGAGTATATGGGGTAAGATGAGCCTTCATAGAACATTTCAGTTACCTCAAACACAGGGAGGGTGCTGCCCAAATGCTTCCATGTAGCTGATTAACGGGGTGATCTTGTATGAGAATATTGAAGAGACAGAGGGAGGCAAATCTACCTACCTTTATTAGCATGATGTCATGTGATGTGAAATCTGACAGGGATCTTGAGAATGGGATGAGTCTTTTAATCTCCAATGTTTGTTTCGTGGGCTCATTCTTTGAAAGAGAATGTGCTCCCAAGACCACTGTGGGAGAGTGGCCTCTAGGAAACCTAAAAGAGCAAAGAAATTGGAGGTAACACAATGATGTGCAAACCCAACAGTCATAGCGGGAGATGGTGGAGGTCACACGCATGAAAGACCAAGGACAGAGTCCAAGGAGACCTGCTTAGGGCCAGGTGAAGCGACGGAGGCCCCAGTGGATCTCATCACACATCTCTGGCTTCTCTGTCAGTGTGCTCCATTCCTAGAGCTGCTGCATCCTTCCAACACTGTGTTTAGATAAATAAGGTGAGGCCTCGGGTGCCTGCTGGCTCATCTGTTCATGAGATTCATTCTAGAAAGCCTGGGCCTATTACAGATCAAGCAAATACATGGGAGTACATTCATAGCCCATGATGAAAATAGAAACGATTTTGTTTGGGGCGTTTTGGCTGCATGTTGCAACCATTTGTGTATTACAGATATTTCCTCTTGTAGTGTATTTATGAAAGCCATTTCAAATAATTTTTTTAGAACAAGGATGTGCTAAAAATGCCCTAGAGGTGTAGCTCGGTGGTAGAGCCCTTACCCACCTTGCACAAGGTCCTGTATTCAAGCTTTTGTGCACACACACACAGACATACATGCATGCACGCGCGCGCGCACACACACACACACACACACATTAAAAAAAAAAACCAATCAACCAAACAAACAAAAACAAGGAAAAAAGAACAAAGAAAAGAAAGAAATATATGTCAGTGCAATTTCCATCATGCAGTGGGGGCAGAGGCAGAATTATTACACATTTCTATATAATCCAACTGGGTTACATAGAAAAGCCTTGTCTTAAAAACCAAACAAAAATTTGTATTTATTTGTGATAAAACTCCGTTTTTTTTTCAACTTGAATCAATTTCTGCAGGATACAGCAGAAACACATACACATATACACACAGATTTGTGTTCTTAAAAATCAAGAAGGGCACAGGAATCTAAAGGGCATGAAAGGAGTGGCTGTGTAGGTCCTGAGGATGCGCAAGGCAGTGGGGAGGGTTTGCAGGCGGCAGACCTAGGTTCAGAGAATGCGCATGGGACTGCAGTGGGGGAGGGTTCCCATGTGGCAGACCTGTGGCTGCCTGGAATTACCACTTCTAATTTTCTACCAAAAGAGCTTATTTTGGGAATTCCAGCTCTATTTGCTGAAAAGTTTGCCTATTGCGAAATCGGAATGGGGATGGAATTTCTCAGAGGACATGGATTAGATTTCCTTGGATGGATTCAAACTCAAATCCAACTTGCCCACTAAACCCAAAGCTCTGGAGGGAGAGGAAGATACAAAATCCCCAGGACCTCCGCTGGGACAGGAGAGTGGGTGTGTCTGTAAACAGCACTCCAAAGGACAGCTGTGAGGTACCAACACCTCTGGGGAAGGTAGATGCTGGTGAAGGAGACGCTCGTTCATCTTTCACCCAGTTCCTCCACTATCTGCTGACTTTGAAATGTTAGAGCTACTTTTGTATCCACTGTGACAGGCTAATAAGCCCCATGCAGATCAATATGCTCTTTGGATTTTCAGCTGTGATAGGTCCCATCATGGTCAAGTCTTCTGCCCATGGAGTAAATGAAATGTCCTGAGTTCTAGGATTCTACCTCTTTAAAATCTTTTTTCTTAAAAAAAAAAAAAAATTACACACACACACACACACATTGTATGTATGTACTATGGTGTGCACATAGAGGTCTTTCAGGACTTAGCTCTCTCCTTCCCACGTGGGTCCCAGGGATCCTTCAGGTGGCTAGGCTTAATAAGGGTCTTTTACTTACTGAGCCATCTCTCTGGACTCCATGTCTTTATCTGTGTCTAGATGTGAATTCACACAAGAGAAACCTAGTACCAGCGTCATGCATTTGCACATCACAGGGGTTTTCCAAGAGTGGCCTTTAGCACCTGGAGGTACTTGTGTGCAGTTTCCTGAGTCCCATCCTGGCTGCCCTGTCATGGAACTGCAGAGTAGAACCCCGGTATTGCTTGTCATACATTTCTTCTCTTTCACAGATGGCTGCCAAGATGGCCTCAGTGGAGCCCCACAGTGCCCTCCTCAGTTTTAAAGCCACTGGGCCGCACAGCCCTCATCAATCATCTAACTGGTTCAAAGTGACCATCTCACACTTAGAGGATGCAGGAGCCAAGCTCAGGGCTCATGTCCCAACTCTAGTGCTCTTCCCTGGACGCTTCTTTTGCCTTGTATCAGGCTTTACTTCAGCTTGCTTCTTAGGCCAGCCTGTCTTGATGCTAAGCAGAGCCTGTTTCGACCAGCTCCTGAGGTCTGGCATCAAAGGCAGGGTTTCTATTTCTTGGAGTCTCTCTTGGCTCAGATAGAGAAAAGCTGCTGGCTGTCAGAAAGCATAAATATTCCCAGTCCTATCCCATCCACACAAGTGGACCATCATGTTTATTGCTTGGTTATTACCATGGAAGGCTGCAAGGACAATATAGCAATCCTCAACAACATGTGTTAAAGCATAAGCTATGTCTTCCTCTGCTTCCTTCACTGGAACAGCAGCCAAGTAGGTGGGTGAGAAGACGATCCTCATTTTATAGACGAGGAAGTTGGGGGTCAGGTAAGTAGACGAGGAAGTTGGGGGTCAGGTAAATTAAAAATGTATTAGGTGGAGGCTCTGGGATGCACATCCAGGCAGGATTAGAACTCTTGGTGTGGGCTGGGGATGTAGCTCAGTGGTGGTAGAGCACTTGCCTAGCAGGCACGAGCCCTCAGGTTCAATTCTCCAGCACCACACAAACAAAACCAAAAACAGTTGCATTGGTTTGCCTCTGCAGCTTGGTGGTGCACGGCTGTGAAAGAGGTCATGGAGGATTCCATTTGATAACTTGTTTAGGCACATGAGAGGGAGAAAGAAGGGTCCAGGGAGCGAAGCGGGTCAGTAAAAAGAGCCCAAAGTTTTCTCCTGATGATTTAAAACATTGAAAAGTAGACAATTCAAGAGTATTTTTTTTAAAAATGTATTTCCTTTACGTTTGTTTCTTTCTTTGTAGACAGGCTCTTCCTGGGTGCTCCAAGCCAGCCTCAAGCCAACAATCCTCCTGCCCTGGCTTTCAGAGTGCCACCATACCCGGTATCCGTTTCCTTCTAGGTTTGATGGGATAACTGCCAAGGCACGAAGGAAGGCTGGAGCAGATGGGTGCTGAGAGGGAGCCTTCCTCCCAGATTTGCCTCTCCCTGTCACCGTGCCGAAAGGAAGGGTTGGCTTAGTCAACTGTTCCCCCAGGAGCCTCGTGAGCACATTTGTGGGATGCCACCATTGAGCTGTTTCATCAATATTTTGAATTTCATAAGGCTTAATATTTTTCCAAGCACTGATCTGCCTACATTTTTACACCCAAATGTCCCCTGTGGAAATTCGATCCACATACTTCAGAGTCATTTATATGCCAGCCATTTAAAATGATATTTAGCAAGATCTTCTAAACTCCAAGACCTCTCTTCAGGTCTCCCTCAGCCTCTCCTCCTTCCTTCTCTCCCTTCCCCTTCTATTATTTATTATTGTTATTATTCTTGTTATTGTTGTTGTTTTTTAAACAATCTCTTCCCCCCAATTTGGGATATACTTTTCTTGAATTAAACCCATTAGACAAATTTTCAGATGTAACTTAGTACCGTCTACCTTCATCTATCTTCCTGCTGTGACTTCACACGCCCTGTACCAGGTCTCACGCTTAGCCCCCAATCCAAACCCTTTCTTTCTTGCCCCTTCCCACCAGCGTCTGCTGAACAGTCTACATTCAGCTCCTTGTCTGGTGAGCTGTGAGTGAGAACCAGAAGCCTACCTGGAGAGGAACAAACCTCACCTTGAGTGAGATTTTCTTGTGATGTGGGAAGCAGGACAGAAGGGAGGGGTGCATGGGTGAGTAAGGATACGAAACTGGAATCCAGCAACTTGCTCTTTAGAAACCGTGTCTTTTCGCTATTTTCAGGTCCTGGAGCTCCCAGCAGGGTTCCATCAAAAGGCAGCAACTAGACAATATCCTTAAAGCAGGGAGTCAAGACAGTTCAGTTGTTCTGTCTAGATGGTGTTGATGTCTGGATAGCAATTTTTGGAAGCTAAGATCGATTTTTTTTTTTTGAGACAGTGTCTATCTATCCCTGGTTGCTGTGAAGGTAGCAATCAGCAGGTAGATCAGACTGGCCTTGAACTCAGGCAGATGTGATCGCCTGCCTCTGCCTCTTGAGTGCTGGGATTAAAGGTGTGTGCCACCACTGCCCAGCTAACTTTTTGTTACTAGATTTCTTCATTTTATTTTATGTTTGAGTGTTTTGCTTGTATGTATGTCTGTGTGCCACATGCAAGCTTGGTGCCTGCAGAGATCAGAAGAAGACATTGGACCCCTGGAACTACAGTTAATGGATGGTTGTGAGACACCACGTGGGTGCTGGGAAGCAAACCCTGGTTTTCCCTAAGAGCAGCGGGTGTTCGTAAGCACTGAGCTATTTCTCCAGTCCCTAAGACTTATTCTTAAGTGAAGGGCTATCGTGTTTTAAGGGAAAGAGAAGATGATCAGGGATCCCAGGCAAGAAGCTTAAAGAAATAAATATGCGAACAGAAGAAATGAAATCAGAAAACTCAAGCGAACACCATCAGCTCTCTACCGACAACATCCCAAGACAGATTTTATACATCATCTTAAACTGAAGGGACCTGGGGGCGGGGTGCTGTCCTCCATGGTCAGAGAAGCTGCCCTTTAAATATCCCCATTCCCGCTGACCTGCTCCGGATCACTTTTTAGAACCCCTCTATAATAGTTTCCCCCTCAAGGGAAGTTGCTGTCTCTTATTGTTGTGATTTCCAAAGTGTGGTCCTCAGATGTCTAGGGTAAAGCATAAGGCTGAAGAACTAGAGAATCTGCAAATCCTTTGCCAATACTCACAGTGTTGTCTGCAATATATCTGTGCTTTCGAAAAATGTCAAATATTCTGAAATATCTAAATAAAAACACCAATTCTCAAAACCCCATGAAACAGGATACAGTAACCTCCCCTTGGACACAGGCTTCCTTTCAGCACTTTCAGTTGCTTGTGGTCAACTGCTGTTGAACACTTCATGGAACATTCCAGAGATAAGCAGTACATACATTCTAAATACTTACTAGAGTAGATCGTTTTAATCGTTCTCTTTTATCGCCGTCGTTCATCTTACTGCTCTTAATTCCTGGAGTAAGCTTTGTCTAACGTGTGTGGTTCTTCCTAGTCACCGAGAGCCTCACACACGGAAAAGCACAGGGGACTCACCAAGAGTAGCAGTGGGCTGCTGTCAGCACCCACTGCGGATGAATCAGGACTCCTCCACAGATGTGACGGCCTCGGTACTGGATGGAAGCCATAAACGGCCGGGAATGTGGCGGTACCTCTCTCCCTCCAATAATTTCAGTGCGGAAACCTGTAAAAGTGAGCCGAGAGATTTCACGTGGCCCAGCGGTGGCATCTAATCCTTCAGACAGCAGGCACCATTGTCACAATACTCTTTTTCAAGACCAATACAACAGCAGTGCTACCCAATAGTTGTTATACTTTGCCTGGCTAGCAGGTGAGAGGGAAATTACAGTTTACAGTGTAACAGTGTAATCACTAGAGTCATATCATATTCATATGATATGTTCACATGTGGCAGGAGCAGAAGATACTTACACTCTGAGCACAGATAAACCCCGGCAGTCAGGACAAACAGAGCAAATGGAGAAAGCCTCATATTTACGATACTTCTGCGTTAAGGAGCACAGAGGAATCACTTTGCTCAGCGACCGATGAAGAAGATGCTGAAGAGGGTGGGGTTTTTCTCTCTTTCTTACTTTCCTTTTTCCTTATAAGCTTCTCACCTCACATGCTCCAGAGGGTAGAGCTTTCACACCCAAGTTTTCGAAGTAACTATCAGTTTGGGGAGTTTCCGGTCTGTGCTGCCAGTGTACCATGAAGAACTCATTTCTGGATGAGTGCCCTTGGTACAAATGGTGAAAGAATAGAAAATACCCAGGCTGGTAAGACCCCCATGTATTGTAGACAGTTTCAAGATGGTCCTTGCTCTAAATCAGTGGTTCTCAACCTGTGGATCATGATCCCCTTGAGGTCACATATCGGATATTTACATTAGGACTCCTAACAGTAGAAAATTACAGTTCTCAAGTATCAGTGAAATAATTGTATGCTGTATGTGTGTGTGTGTGGGGGGGTCGCCACAACATGAGGAACTGTATTGCAGGGTCACGGCACTGGGAAGGTTGAGAACCACTGCCCTAGAGCAATACTTCTGTTTCCCCTGGCATGAGATGGTGATCACCAGGCTTAATTCCTCTCACCTTTCATTTGTGCATTAGATTCCTGGTGGGGACGCGGGGCCCGCACAGATCCTAGGGGCTCTCTGGTGCGGCTTAGCTGCAACCTGAACACCATCCAAAGAACCCATACGTTTCCCAGCAAGTACAGCCCTTGTCTTGCCGCTCTTTAAATATGACCAGAGTTGGTTACATTTTACTTACATTTTTTGGAGATTTAATCATGTTACTAAAGGAGAATATTGGCAACACTTTTTTTTATTCAAATTGTCTTTGACTTAATTTTAATTGAAAATGACCACATGTTTATCCAGGGCCTTAATAATGTATTTTAAAAGGCAAGGACTGTATTTTGTCATTCTTCCCAGGAAGAGATGACAATGCAATGCCAGGCCTTTTAGTGGACATTATCTTGATCAGACTCAGGATTCTGTCCACACTGAAAACGCAAGTCCATACAGGACAAAGTAGATGCAAATATACATAGGTAGACTAGGCTCGGGAGCCCTAATATTTTCCAGAAACTCTTACCAAAACTTGCATAGTTTTTAGTTGTTTTTTAAAAAAAATTATAAAATCTGTTTTCTATTTTTAAAAAAAGAAAACCAAAACTGTCATGGTTGGTAGATGGCAAAAGAATACCTACATTATTGTTTTTCTTTGACAAGAAAGCAGAAAAAATAATTACTATCCATTATACAGCATAATTTAATGATATATAAGTTGAATGTCAAGTTATTTCCCAAATTCTCTCTACATGATCATTTGCATCTTCCTGTCTATATCTGTGAGGAAGGTGGGGCGGAAATTATATTTAAGCTACAATCGAAGACATAAGCCCAGAGAGATTCATTTGTCCAAGTCCACAGTGTTGGAACTGAGCTAAATTTCACCCCTCACCTGCAGAAGCGTGGATGTTAAGAAGCATAAGTCAGAACACAGCACCAGATAGCTAGTGTCGCATTTTCATTATACAGGGGTGCAGTCACAGCAAAGCCGTCGACTTCCTGCTAGGGAGAGCAAAAGGTGAGAAAAGCCACAGGGTTATCCAACGGAACCTGTTAGCACCCCAGAATGCCCCGTGAACTGTCAAACGACCTCCGTTAAGCAGAGCCCTTGTGTGCCGTCTTTCCATGTTGCCTGTAGGCATGATCACAACTGTTCTCTGAGGTAATAATACCGGGAGCAGAAGGCGAGTGGATGTAACAGTGATTTGAACGTAAGGAAGAGGTAAACTGTAAAGAGCAGATTTAGGATGGCGTGGTTGAAACATCACTCCTGGCTTACGTCTTTATAGTAAGGACACACAACTGCATAGCTTTTATTGAAGATGGCTGAACACTTTCAGCTGTGTTTCCAGGGAGGCGGCTGCCTCTTCGTCCTGTTTTATGGATGGGGAAACTGAAGCCGAGATTGTCTAGATAGCCCAGCTCACGGATTGCTCCTAAACCCTATGTGCTGGCTTCAGACTTCACATTTCCTTCAAGCGAACCACACTTTCCGCCCTGCTCCCTCTGAGAAGCCCCTGGCTTAGACACTGCAGGAGGCAGGCTGGTCGTGCAGAAGGGAAAAAGGATTTGGTCTTGCACACTGCAATTAGACATGGGTGAGATTTAGTTCAATTGCGAAGATCGGCTCATGACTCTTTCTTGTAGTTGACCTGGAATTCTGAGAATTGCGTTGGTTTAAAATAATGAGTTTCTGGGTTTTGGCTTTAGCCCCCTGCACTGGTTAATAGTATCATTTGTTATTGTCTTTGGGATCCTGGGTTTGAAGATAGCGGGCTGTGTAATATGATGAACTGGGTCATCTCATTGATTTCTGGGTGTTGGTTTTTGCTCTGTTGAGTCTGCTGCGGGGAGAGCTGTGTTTGCTTTGGAAGGCGCTTACAGCAGCTGGACTAGTCTGAGCAAGTGCACGGCACTCAGCCTGTGGCTGGCTCTCGCGGGTCTCTGCTGTGTTGTGTAGCTGTCACTGTGAGCCGCAGTGAGAGATGTTTTTGACACTCCTGCCTTTTAGGGGAACCTGATAGACCAGCTGTCCTGATTGTCCCCCTGGGGCTGTCTTTCATAGCCCAGGCACCTGCGTGCAGACTCACAAGCCACACTCTTTAGGGGCTGAGTCCCTTGAAGAGTGGCTGCAAACTTGTGCCAGTCTGAGACCTGTTGATGACTCACTAGCAGATAGACAAGGACAGAAACTGAAAATGAGTATTTGGAAAATTACAGCAATTCAAATGGGCTCTATGATAATTTTTAAATGAAACATAATTTGTTGAATTTAATAATGTTAGGCAAGTCTTTTATATACCTTTGTTATTTGATTGTTTCATTCATTTGTATTGTATAGAAGTGTTAGACCCTGATGGACCAAAAGTAAAAACATGTTAAGAACACACACACACACACAGACACAGACACACACACACACACACACACACACACTCACAGCCTTCCCCAGTGTAGGAAGCACAAGGAACACTGAAGACACGACTCTGGAGTAGATGAGTGTCCAGCCTTTCTCACTGATTCCCTTTCTGTGTCTTTTGCAAAGCTGATTGAAAAAGATTTATTTTAGTTTTTATTCTGTAGATTTGTATCTGTCTATGTGAGAGGTATGTGCCTATGGAGTGCAGGGACTAGAGGAGTCAGAAGAGGGCGCTAGATCCCCTGGAGCTCGAGTTACAGGTGGTTATGAGTCTCATGATGTGGATGCTGGGAACTGAACTTGGGCCCCCTGGAAGAGCAGAAAGTTCCCTAACTGTTGAGCCATCTCTGGAACCCCTTTTTAAAAATTACTTTAAATTACATGTTTGTTTGTTTGTTATGTGTGTGTGTGTGTGTGTGTGTGTGCAGCCACATGTGACACAATATATGTGTGGAGGTCAGAGGACAATCTGTGGGAGTTAATTCTCTTCTTCTACCATGTGGATCCAGAAATTGAACTCTTGTCAGGTTGTCAGGATTGGTTGCAAGAACCTTTACCCACTGAGTCATTTACACCCCCCATCACACACACTTCAGCCTCTTTTGAAAGAACATCTCATCACTGTGGTGTTCAAGACTTTGTGGCCCTCCCAGCCTTAGAAACCTGAGATTAGCCTTTAGGAGTCTTTTGTTGAGTCCCCCTCTTTCGAGCCACCACTGAGGGTTGATCTCTGTTTGAATTATAGTTTAACTAATTTGATAAGTGAATCTGCTAGCAATTGCGGTGAAACTATTTGGCAATTGAATTTGGGAGGAACATTGGGGTGCTGTATACTAATATAATGTTGAAAGGTCCAAAGGATGTGTAAGTCCTATAGCCAGCTTACTCTTACAAGGTCCTTAAAAACGAATGATCTTAAGAACAATTGAAAAAAGAAAGAAAACAAAACAAACAAACAAACAAACAAAAAACAAAACAAAAACAAAAACCCAGGGCCCCCTTAGCGTCAGAACTGTGCTTAGCATAAATCCGTGCAGAGAAGCGGGAGACTGGGCCTGGGCTTGTTCTCCAGCTGTTAGACGCCAACACTTTGGAAGACTGCAATGTGCTTTCTCTGGGGTAGTGATGGTGATGAAGGTGGGAACAAAATTGATTTGTTTTGCCTTTCTCTACTTCAGGTTTCAATCAGAACACATTTTGCATTATTAATTATTTTATTTAACATTGAGAATTATTTTTGAGTTCACCACCGAGTTAAGAAGCACAAGGAGCAGTTTTGCACCTTCCGGTTTCAGCCCTTCCCCAGTCCTGTCTGAACTAAGGGTGAAGAGGAGAGCTGCTCCGAGGTCTTGGTAAGCAAAGGCCATGGACAAATAGGACCTCAAGGCAAAGTGGGCTGCCCGCTGGAGAGGCTTGTCTGTTTGTCCAGCATCTCCCTCGGTCCGTCTCCAGCCTTCAAGGCGTTATTTTGTGATTCCTCTTTCTCTTCTTCTTCAGGGTGGCCTTGGATTCCATTGTGTGAGTTCAAATGTTATGGGAGAGATGGGGAAAGTCCCACAGAGGGTGGTCCCTATGATGTCACTGGACCCAAGGCAGGTCATTCACACTGTCTGCAATGTTTTTCCTAAAAGATTTACACATGTGAGAATCCTGTCAGGAGGGATTGACTGCCAAGGGAAGGTCAGCAGCCTTGACCGCCCATCCAGACTCTAGTTTTACTGGAACACAGGCCTTGCATAGAGGAAGGTGAACACTGTTTGAGCACAGTAGGGTGTTAGGAAGAAAACTAGGGTCACTCTGTAAGAAAAGCTAAAGGGAAAAGTGTACAGGAAAGGACTTAGTGATAAAAACAGAACACTCACCCTTAGATTCACCCTGTAGAAAGACTGTAAGAGTCAGAAGACCAGAAGGTCTGTTGTGAGACTGTGTCTTCTACAGGCTGAAATTTCAACCATTCGTCTTTTAAAACAAGACCCGAATGGTGACAACGCCAGTTGACATGCCAACATGGAAGGGGGAAATCACACAGGGCTCCACCCCTAGATAAAGAGAAG